AAACGTCTGTTATGCATGCCATCAACCAGGGCATCTAGCTTGTGATTGCCCCCACCGGCCCTCGCAACAACGGGTCGGGGTCGCCCCAATGGCAGCGGCCCCCATCGCTAACGGGTCGGGACGGGTAGGAACCCTGATGGAAGAAATGGAGGGCGGAGGTAGTGCGCTAGCTACCTTGGAAGAAGTTGTTGAGCTTATCCCGTTAGACCAGTATGTATCGCTTGGTTACCCAGGGTTTGGAATCATCAGAACGATCAGACCCGCGCCGGAACAGAAAGAAGTGGCGGAATAGCGACCTTCTCCAGGAAAAATGGAGTCGGAAGGACTCACCTTCGTCACTGGGGAAATTGATGTGTTGAACATCATTCGAGCCTTGGACCATCGGATTCCACTTCCAGTCGGTCATTTGCTCTCGATCTCTGAACAAGCTAGTGAGCGAATGCTACAACACTGCAAGGCGAATCGAAAGCGATTCGCCCTCACCCGAACAACGAACGGGAAAGCAAAAAAAAAACACGCCAGACGCAAATACAGCTGGCACTCCGGATCCGATACGGGTCGGATTAATCCAGAAAGACGATCATTTCCTACGAATTAAACCCATCCCTTGGAAATTTGTGGAATGTGATATTGAGATATGGGGAATTCCGTACAATGCAATTATCGATTCGGGAGCTGCCGTTTTGGCTATTTTGTTACGGGTAGTCGAGAGGGCGGGTAGGAGAAATGATTTAATCATGCTTACGGAAAAGGAGCAGCTTGTTTCGGCAGACGAAGAGAAGATCAAAACAGTGGGACGAATGACCAACGTCGCTTTTCGATTAGGAAAGGTGCACGCGTTGGGAGATGTCGTGGTACTAGACGTAAACACCTACGATGTCCTTTTCGGCCTTCCCGCTCTTGTGGTGTTACGAGCAAACCTGAACTTTGAGCGACGGTTGATTATCCTCCGAAATACGGGAGGAAAGCCTTATGTTGTACCTATGAGGCTGACTCTTCGTACTACCATCAACGCAGTCCCGCGAGTTTCTCTGATGATAGCGGAAACTCTTCGTATGATCACCTGGGAAAACTCCGCAGGCAATGAGCCATCGTCGAAGGATGCGGATAGCAGTAATGAAAATGATCCGTAAATTCTGAAACTAGCACGACAGCGCATTTATTACCCGCCGCCCAGGACGATCGCAAGAACGATGCATCTAACTAGTCGGAATGTACAAAGGACCCAAGCCATGATTTTGGGTGAACCCCTCGTACGGATCTCGAGGATGGTCGATTCCTTGGAACCCCCTCGGACCCTGTACGAAGGAACGGCCCCTCTTCTTGCACGATACAATGACAAGAGATCTTTTAATGACATCATGGGTCTACCATGATCCCTGCTATCACCCACAAAAGAAGTACGATTGCTACGCCTGGGGGCGGAGGCCAGTTCTTTGGAACCCCCTTTGCGTCTCGAGGCAGAAACAGATGAGCTCGGAATTAAGATCGCGACTAAACCTGTACCGTGGCAAGATATCTGCGATGGAATCACCCCGGAAGGACACGTGGCCATCCGGGAGGAAGACGCCCAGATGATGGTCACGGTATTCTCCTGGCGATCGGATCATTCGTTTATCTCAGCACCACCACCCGAGGCGGCGAAACAAGCGCGCACGAAGCAGATCGACGTACGGATCTGGGATCAGTCTTATGAATTGCACGTTCCGTAGCGTGTACCTGATGAGATTCATCGTTTGATTGCGGACATTCTGACGGAATATCAGGGAGCGATTAGCGTAATGGACACTGACATCGGTTTGTCGTTGGTCATACAACACGAAATTCAAACGGGGAATCATTCCCCAATTCACTGCAAGCCCTACCGGTACTCCCTGGTAGAACGGAAAAAGACTCTCGAACGGATTCGGGAGTTCGAAGCAAGCGGTTGGATCGAACTTGCCATGGGACCATGGTCGTTCCCAGTAGTATTAGTACCGAAGAAGTACGGATCAATCCGTATATGCATCGATTATCGCAAACTGAAGGAGATCACGATTAAAGATGTGTATCCCCTCCCCTGGATTGATGATTGCTGGATGCGATTGGATGTGCTAATTATTTCAGTAAGTTTGATATTCGGCATGGCTTCCATCACATCCTGGTTAAGGAGGAAGATCGGCCAAAGACGACATTCGTGTTGTTCGAAGGCACGTGGCAGTGGGTTCGATGTCCAATGGGAATTTGCAACGCGCCTGCCACGTTTCAGCGGGCCATGAACGTGACGTTCCAGAACTTCGTCAACAAGACGCGATTAACGTAGGGGATGATTAACTTATGCGTCATCGTGTACATGGACGACATCTTGGTTTATTCGGAGACCTATCACGACCATGCACAACACATTGAGTGGACAATATGCGCTCTGAGAGACGCTGGATTCAAGATTGCACTCAAGAAGAGCGAATTTTTCCTCTCGGAGATTTCGTTCTTGGGGTACGTAGTGACACGTGGAGGGCTGCGACCGGACTCAAGGAAAGTTGTGGTCGTAAAAGAAGCCCCAGTTCTCACGTCGCTGACGCAGGTTCGAGCCTTCTTAGGCCTAGCATCGTACTACCGCCGTTTTATCCAGGGTTTTGCGGCGATTGCTCGGCCTCTCACGAACCTGCTCCGGAAGGACCATCCTCTACAGTGGGACTCTGAGTGCGAGCAAGCCTTTGACGTACTCAAGGAGGCCCTGTCCACAACACCAATTTTGATCCGGCCGGACCCTACCAAGCAATTTATTTTTATAACGGACTTGCAACCCGAAGCAATCTCCGCCATCCTAGCGCAGAAGGGGAACGATGGTCGCGAACACATAATTGAGTACGCGTCACGAACAGTGCCAGACGAACGGAGGAATGACTCAGCACCCCAAGGCGAATGCTATGCAGTAGTCAAGGGAATCCAGCACTTCCATCCGTACCTTTACGGACAGAAGTTCCACCTCGTGACGGATCATGAGCCCCTGCTTGCTTTGAAGAGGCTCATTAATTACACGAGCATGATTGGACGTTGGGCGGTGCGCGGAATATGACTTCGACATCATCCATCGGAAGACAGAGAGACACGGCAACGCGGACGGACTGACACGTCTGCATCGACCCGCTAAAGTACCTAAGGGCGAGGAAATCACTCCTTGGAAGGAGTCAGAACCAGCGAACGGGCCTAAGTACAGACAAGTGGCAGTTCTCCCACGTGGCAAGAAGCAGACCGGTGGCAATGGGTAACGGAGGTAATCCTGTAATCCCTCTTTCTCCCCTCTCCTCCTTATCTCTTATTTCCCTGCCTGACAAATTTTGTTATTTTTGCGAAGCGATCTCTCGCGTATATTCGGTCTCCATGCGTCCTAACAGGGAAGGCTATATTGATTGGGTAGATTGTCGACAGTGCGTCGCACGAACCCATGGCTCATGCATCCAATACAGAAATGACGGTAAGTCGTGGCTGTGCCCCTTGTGTCGGGTTGACAAGATCCTGACCGAGGCTCGTTTTTTGGATGCACGTCAGAAGGGTTGAAAAGGACCCGGAAGTTTAGAAGGGCCGAGGTATAGACGGATATCGCTTTGATTGCTACTCTAGTAGGTAACCCCCTCCAGGACTTCACTAAGGAAGATCGGAGAAGGGTCAATGAAAGGGCGCGGGATTACCGCTGGAATGAGGGACGATTGGAGAAACGGGAAACGGATGGTAGTGAAATTTGGATGGTAGTTCCGCACCCGTTCATGAGGTATGATTGGGTAAAGACGGCACACGAAGAAACGGCTGCCCATTTTGCCGTACGGATTACAGAATCGGCAATCGATAAAAATGAGTGGTATTGGTCCAATATTCGTGACGATGTGAAATTCATCGTCGTGAACTGACAAGGCGTCGATCCAGCCACCCAGATCGATAGTGCCAACGATAGTTGAATGGCCTTTCCAAAGGGTAAGCATGGGTACTACCGATATCGTGGTACCTCCTGGTCCTAATAGCTGTGAATATTCGGTCCTGTTGGTATTTGTCGACCATTTTTCGAAATGGATTGAGGCCTACCCGTGTCGCACGTGGCAAGCGGCCGAAATCGCGTGGTATGTTAACCGTTTTCTCGGGATGCACCAGGACACAGAAGAGATCCTGACCGATAATGGGGCGGAATTCAGAGGGGAAGTGTTGAGGAACCTGGTCATACACGGTGTCGCAGTGCGGAATACCGCGCCCCACATGTCGCAATCCAACGGGCAGGTAGAAAACGCCAATAGGGTGATAAAGACAGCGCTACGACGAAACATCGCAGCTCGGGATCCGAGCCCCTGGCCCGATATTGTCGATCACATCCTGGCGGTCCACCGAGGGACACCCCACGAATCAACGGCCTTAAGCCCCTTTCAATTAAGGACCAATAGCGTCGCTTGCATTTCGATAACGAGCCTCCCAGATGAATCGACGCTGAACCGACGGTTCACAAGGGCCACGGTTCGGGACAAGGCTAGGCGGCATTTAGAGCTAATGGAATGGTCCCTCCCCAGGCTAGCCCGAAAGCGCCAGAAAATGACCGAGTTGGCCCACAGCTGACAGGTCCGGAGCTACGAGGCCCGGAACGGGAACGCGGGTCCACGGCCCCAGTACAAATTAGAGGACATCGTGCAGGTGAGGAAATGTGCTCGTTAGGGTAAGCTAGCGCCACGATTCTTCGGGCGATTCCGCGTGATCGAGCTTGGACCAAACGGAGTGAACACCGTGCGGCTCGCACCTGAAGTCTCCGGAAGCCGATCGGCGAGACCGATCGTTCGCCACGTGTCCTACCTGCGTCCCCTCCCTTCCTCCCCGTCGCCTGCACCTTCATCCTCCTCCTTCGCCACAGAAGAAGACAACGATTCTCCATCACCTTCTTCCTCCCCTGCATCTTCTGCCTCTTCCCAGCCTCCGTCCCCGCCACCATCGCCATGAGCTTTCTCACGGAGCGAGCCCTAGGCGACCATCTCTTAACGCCACGGGGTTACATCTCGGCGATTCGACAGGTGTGCGATCCACGACTCAACATGGATCTTCTACGACTGGCGCAGTTCTTTTGCACCTCGGGAGTGTATGCAGTGTCTGAGTTCCGATTCGCGGGCAGTCCTCAGGCGGTGGTACTGGCAGAAGCAGTGGCTGTCCATCGGCGATCAGCTCCGGGGATTAGCCACATGTCCACGGTCATCGGTTTCAGCGGCGACATCATCACGGTCAATGCGCTCCGGCATACAGCCATCCGGACGTCACTGAGGAAGTGGGCACAGCAACTGGCCATGGAGTGGAACCACTCTCTTACGCGCCCCGGGGAGAATCTTTTCCCCACAAACGGCGTCGAGCTCGGAGGGATCCGAGCATTTCAGCACGAACCAGCTGTGGTGCTGCCAGAACCCTTCAAGCCTCCCCGATGAACCACTCCCAACTCTCCACTTTTGCCCTCCCATCTCTCTTTCCCACCCTCTGGCAATCTAGTCTCCACCCTCGTCTCTCTTTTTGCTTGGAGCCGCTCGCAGTCCCCCTTCTCGATCCTGGGCAGTGGAGACTTTGGCACGAGCACTTCGTCGAGCTTTCGGTGTGCCTGGTCGAGGTACGAATCACGTGGACAAGGGACGAAGACCATCGCGAGTGGAGCGAGTACTTGGAGTGGCTGATTATCCAAGCCTGGAGAACGAACGTGGAGGATGATCTTCTCAGACTCCTGTTCAGATCGGTGTGGCCAAGTCATCGCCAACCTATCGCCCTAGAGCTTACGGTCCCGCTCGCGCAGCTGGCTGACGATCTCCCCTTGGAGATCGTCTCGCAAAGCGACGAGAGCCCGGTCCCGCACGTTCTCACGCGGACCTTGACGCCATATCTTCAGTGGTCAGCATGTCTGGAAGAGCCAGGAAACGACCACAATCCACCATCACAGCTGGATTATCTGAGCCCGCGAGAGATCATCGATCCCGCCTACTTCCGAGATCGAACGACCACCGAAGACGAGGCAATAGCGGAGGAAGAGGAAGAAGAAGAGGAGCAGGACGACGAGGAAGAAACTCTCGAAGAGGGGAGTTACAGCGAACACAGCGAAGGGGAGCAAAGTGAGGAAGAGGAAGAAGAAGAACAAGACGACGAGGAGGAGGAGCTAGAGTTGGAGGAATCGGAGTGGGAGATCTCGGCGGAGGAAGGAGAGCAAGCGGGCGCACAGGCAGAAGACCCCGAGGCGGCACGCAAGAGAGAAGAGATCGCGGCCGGAAAATGACAGTTGGAGTTCACCGGCGGAGCCAATCAGCAAATCGCCGACGACCCGGCCCGAGATCCAGAGCCGCCTAAGCCCGAGGATGGGGACCCAGCTGCCGAGACTTCGACCGCACCGACAAGGCAGCAACGAACCCGATCCCCCTCCCCCTCCACCCCCGACCGTCCACCAGTTCGAGCCCGTACTGATGCGGGGCATCGGGCTTCGTCCCCGGCGTTATCCCGCCATCCCCTTGACCATCTCACCCTCCGCCAGGCTACTACCCGAGTTGTCTTCCCCCGCAATCCCTTCCCCTTCGACACCTTCCGCTTCTTCTATGCCACCCGTCTTATTGTCACAATCCATCCCCACCCCTCGACCCGATGCGCCCTCCCCGACTTCTACCTCCATATCCTTCTCCTAAGTGTCGCGTGGCGAGGCCACAATATGATCGAAGTTTACTGCATGATTACGGGGACTATCCCCGAATGCGAGAACTACCACCATTTTCGCACGGCACTCTTCGGCACCTTCACCACCCTGTATCCACACTATCTCGCCCTCCCCCATAGTGGTAATCGCTTCCCCCGTTTCCACCGGATTGTTCGATATCAAGACCTTTCGGAAAGGATGGCGAGGATGGACAGTTTCTTGCCCCCCCTCCCGATTAACCCTCCCCCTCGCCATGTCCCCACCGTCTTCCCTTCCCTCTCCCCACTGGACACTGGTGATCGGTTGATTGGTGCGCTTGCCAGTGCGATGACACGTGTGATCCCCTCCCTGGATTGTCAATGGTCCTTCCTGAGGAATTAGTAGTTAGAGCTGTGTTGGCCACACTGGATGACGTCCACACTCATTCATATAGTAAGTGGCACGAAAGGAAAAGCTCCACGTATCGATCGATTAGAGAGATCGACACGTGTCAACAAGCAAGCAGGAGCTTGCTAATATTGGAACCCCCTAGGCATCACAAAAATGTGACAAACCGATTTCTGCACCGCACGATTTCCTGCACGATAGCAATGAGGGGTCCTAAGCTGGGAAGAATGGGCCAACTACGGGAGATCGGGATTGGAAGGAAATTGCATCAGTGTCCTTGCTTCTTTGCCTTTTTGTGTCGCTTCTTTTCGGATGGTTGGGTTCGGCTGGGTGGGTCCCAGGACGATCGATTGATTGATTGGCAGTGTGTGCGGTGCGCCGCCATGCGCGCGATTAATAACTATTGACGACACTTCTCTCGTTTCGATTTTGGATTTTTGGGCGCGGACATCACGCGGGAATTTTGCTTAGTTCTTTTTGAATTTTCTTTTTGAATCCTTTTTCGAATTTTGTCGAACCCCAATGGCTCTCGGAATTTCGGAATTTTCTTTTGGAATTTGTGCCTTTTGCCTTTTCTGTATTAGATAGGAATTTAGGAATTTGTTGCAATTAGGATTTGCGGCTGCAACGGAACGCTGATTAGTCGGCGTCTTTAATCGGGTGTGTAACTGTAATTTTTGGCGGGCGCCATTGTAACTGTATCTTTCTTCTTGCGCTTAATCTTTCCCGCCCTTCTTCTCTTTCTTTTGTTGTGTCTTGGTAGCCGCGGTCTGCATGATCAGATCGATGCGTGGAGAGCGGCTACGTCCCCCACGCCGCGGTCGGGCCATGCAGAACGTAGGCGTTCCCTCTCCTGCTCTTCCTTTCCAAGTCCTTGTAATTCCGTGTTCTTCGCGCATGCATGCACTCTATAAATTCTGACTGCGCGAGTAGTTAGCTCTCTTAACCAGCTGTTGGAAGCTCGGGGTACCGCGATCAGTGAGGGTCGACTCACGAGCGAAGTAAGAGGTGAGTTGAAGTGGGAGTCGGGCGACCCGACGAGCTGGTGCCAAACACGCGGGGTTGACGCGGGCTATGACGGACTGTGGGCGCGGGCGAACCTGACAGGTGCGGGAGGACTAAGCGGGGTGACGACTTCGTGGGTTGGTGCGCGACGACGAACTGTCCGCATCGGAGAGAGAGAGAGAGAGAGAGAGAGAGAGAGAGAGAGAGAGAGAGAGAGAGAGAGAGAGAGAGAAAGAGGGAGCTGAGGTTGATGGACGTGGATTTGCTGTTTCTTTTGTCTTTTCTTCCTCTCTGCTCGTGTATATAAATCTTGATTTCGGATCAGGGCGATTTGCCCGTTTTTGTTTTCGAAATCTTCTCTTGGTTTTCTTTCGCCCACACTCGTTTCTGTTATTTCAACCTCTGATGTTGTGTGTTATGCTGCATGAATGGATGTCGTGTCCGTTTGCTTTCTTTACGAATGATCTTTGTCTTTGCTTATCGTTTGGATGCACCCATGAGTAGGGTAGGAATTTTGTGTAGTCATCAATACTGTTTCCGTTCTTGTCTATCCCTTGATTGAGTTGTTGTGATTGTTGCACCTTGCATGCTTAGAAATTATGGAGTGATTAGATGATCGGGTAGTTGTTTGCCCATAAACCTCGCAGGGATGCGTGTAAGTGCAATCTGATCTGCGCACTTATACGTGTCCACGCGCGTCGATTCACAACCACCTACACATGAAACGGCTAACGATTGAGGGGATACTGCCTGATTGGATGTGGCCATCCTGCGTCGGCGACGAAGCAATCATCCCGTGTGAACACGTGTAAGTGCGATTCAACTCACACGGCCTACACGTACTCACATGCGGTGATCGCAACCGACAAAGACACGCCCTTAGGATTTTCGCGGCCCTACGATGACATAATGACACGCTCCAGGAGCTCAGATTCGTCGTGGGACCCGAAGTACTTCACCCCTTGGATAGAAGAGTGCCTCCGATAGAGGTTCCCTTGTCTAACAGAGAATCGACTGTGTCCTAGGTAGTTTCACTGTGCCACAACCAGCGATCCCCGGTGCTCTTATTTCCCCACTTCAGACCACACCCATTACTTTACTTCCCCCGGTTTTGTCGTTATCTCCACTAACTTCCCTCCCTTCTGTCTTCCTCTCCCGTACCATCAACTCAGGGTGGTCCCGTGGAACACCATAGCCCCATACTGGCCCCGCACGCCCTGCGGAAATTGCCGACGACGCGGCAACCAGAGAGCCCCGGGAAACCAAGGGCCCAACACGAACACGCGACGACCGGCGCCACGTGGCGACAACCGACGCCCCGACTCATCAGGATCACACCCACCCCGAATGGACCTTTCGATAAATTGCCGTCACCAAAACAAACAGATCGAGCGGACTTAAACTACCTGCCCATGCCATCTGCCTTATGACTGGAAGCGGTCCGCCCTCTCTGCCAAATTGCACCCGTGCCCCCGAAAAACTCTGCCACAGGCTGGGACTCCACCCCCACTTTCCCAAAAATCCTTCGCACACCCCTTTTTCGCACTTCCAGGCCCACACCCCATTCCGATCAGGAAGTCGCGCTGGAAGTGAGGTTGGGCGTCACAGGGTGGCCAGTTCAATGTTGATATTTCACCTTTTTTTTTCTAAAAGCTGCCTTCTCCTCATCGGGGGACAGCCATATATTTTTGGGCGCCACGTGGCGACAACCGACGCCCCAACTCATCGACGACCGGCGCCACGTGGCGACAACCGACGCCCCAACTCATCGGCGCACTCGCCACGCCTGCCAGCCAGCGGCCACCAACGTGGATTTAGGTTGGCGTCGTATGAAGGATGCCATAGAGAGACATACCCATATGTCCTCTCTTCTGTTGAAGTCAAACTCCTGCTGTATAAGATATTCAAACACAGCTAGCCACGTACGATTTTATGTATGTGTTGCCGCCTTCCAGACAATTTGAGAAGGAGGGCAAGATTCTGACTTGTTGGATCAATTATGCCTAAGCCTCCTTCCTCCTTGACGTTTGAAATTTTGTGCCAAGCTTGCTTTGTGATAAAGCGGTTATCTTCGTCCGCTCCAGGCTTCCAAAGATAGTTGGCAGCTTCCGAAGTAATATGCTTGACAATACTCTTGGAGAAGAGGAGGATGGCGACAGCGTACCATATCTGAGCGAAGACTGCAAAAGTGATGAGCAAGGCTCTGCCCATCAGTGAAACTCCTACTACTGCCTGACAGTGTGCCAAGGAGGATTTGACTTTGGCTAAGAGAATGGAATCCTGCTTTGGCCTGGTATCCGATAGTGATACCTCGACCCCCAGGTATCATTCAGAAATGTCTAACGGAATGCGCTTCATGCCCCAGTCCTCTCCCTCAAGAGAGTACCCTGCCGGTAGGAAGTACAATGATTTATTCAAATTAACTCTTGCCTCCGATACCTCCGTGTATGCATCCAGTATGCGTTTTACATCCACTGTAGTCTTTGTCGTGGCCTCCATGACCAGAAGGAGGTCATCTGCAATCGCCCCCGTCAATAGCGTGGTGTTGCCCAGGTCAAGGTCGCGGATTCGAGGAGCTGCCCTTATCGAGTTGAGTAGAACATCCATCTGGATCGCGAAGAGGAGGGAGGCCAGTGGGCAGCCCCATCGGAGGGACCGTGTGAGCGAGAAGGTGGGGGAGAGGAAGCCATTGGTCATGATTGTGGAGGTCGAGTCACAGTACAGCTCCCGGACCCATTTGCAATCGTTGCATCCGAGTTCATGTGCTCTAACATAGCTAGTACGAAGTACCAACTAACGCGGTCATAGGCCTTCTCTAAGTCTAACATCGCCACCATGACCTGTTTGTCCTCCGCTTGAACGATCTCCAGCGTGCCCGTAACCACCATGATGTTTTCCGAGATCGATCTCCCTTGAACAAAGGCCCCTTGGTCTGTATGGATGAGGGTGGGGAGATATGGCGCTAGCCTTCTTGCCAACAATTTGGTTAGGATCTTATAGGACACGTTGAGTCTAGATATAGGACGTCAATTACGTATGTTTCCTTTGTCCCCTTTCTTGTGTATCAATGTGATGATTCCCAGCTTCATGTCTTTCATTAAAGATCCTCCCTCTAGGACACGGTTGTAGAGGTTGAGCAGCACCGGTCCTACGTGATCCCAGACGGCCTCCACTGGTAGCCCATCAGACCCTGGACTCTTTCATTTGGTGATTGCTTTGACTGCCTCCCACAACTCCTCCAGGGTTATAGGCCGGTCCA